CACTTTGTATGATTATGCATGCACACTGTTTAGCTCTCACTATGAGAACCAGGGATATTTCATTTTTGTTCCTGGGCTACTTCACTTGAAATAATGGCCTCTAGTGACATCCAAATTCCTGCAAAAGACATTATTTCATTCTTTCTTATGGTTGAATACTATTCCATGGTTTATTTATACCATATTTTTCATTATTCACTCATCAATTGGTGGGCACTTAAGTTGGTTCCATATCTTTGTAATTGTGAATTGTGCTACAATAAACATAGGTGCAGGTGTATTTTATAAAATGTTTTTTGTTCCTTTGGGTAGATATCCAGTAGTGGGAATGCTGAATCTAACGGTAGGTCCATTTTTAGTTCTTTGAAGAATCTTCATACTGTTTTTCATAGAGATTGTATTAATTTACATTCCCATCCACAGTGTACTCATAAGCATTTTCCTTTTCACCGCATTTGCACCAACATCTATTATTTTTTGACTTTTTAATGATGCCCATTCTGACAGAGATAAAGTGGTATATCATTGTGGTTTTAATTTTCATTTCCCTGACATTAAGTGATGTTGAGCACCTTCTCATGTGTTTGTTGGCCATTTGTATATCTTCTTTTGAAAAATGTCTATTTGTGATTTTTGCCAACTTTTTGAGATTATTTTCTTTTATCTTGCTGACTTGTTTGAGCTTTCATATATTCTGGATATTAGTTCTTTGTCAGATATATTGTTTGTGAATATTTTTTTCTCATTTTGTAGGTTGTCTATGTACTCTGTTGATTATTTCCTTTGCAGTGAAGAATATTTTTGTTTGATGAAGTCCCATTTATTTATTTATTTATTTATTTTTACACATACATATGGTTATTAGGTTTCCACTTTTTGCCTTCACAGAATTAAAAAGGCTTAAAATTTAACAACAATAACAATGTTTAAGAAAAGGACTAGAAACAAAAAAACAAATTTATTTATTTATTTATTTATTTATTTATTGTTGTTGTTGCTATCTTAGTCAAAATTCTTGGAGCTTTAGTAATAAATTCTTTGCTTAGGCCAATGTCCAGAAAAGGTTTTTTTTCTTTCTAAGTTTTATCCTAGAATTTAATATTTGCTATATTGGATACTTTTCTTCAGTTTTCTAATCCGTAATCTTTTCTTACAAAATCCCCAAAGAAGCCACTACTCATCATTGTTTCAACTATTGAAATTTAATATTATTTAAATATATTTTTTTTCCTGAATGATTCTAACATTATATAACCAAGTTGGTGGTCTTATACAGTTCTCCAATTATATACTTCAACCTTGTAGAAACCATTAATGGGAAATAATCTTGCAAACAGAATTATATTGGCTTCTCTAATATTCAGTCTGTTATATGAATTATATTTATATAAAAATCAATTTGATTCAACATGGAATGATATATTTTACTATGTATTCCAGAAAATTATATATTCTTCATCTGTGTGTCTTTTATACTCTGTGAGGAGCTTCTTCCTCTTTCACTTAGGGAATGAAGAATTTCAGGGGAGGGAGAAAAAAGCATATGAAAGGACAGATTTTGTTCAGCACTGGTGATATTCTAGGGGAAAGGGAGGGGAGGGGAGGGGGGAGGATGAAGGGAGGGTGACTGGTGAGATCACGCCTATGATTTATCCTACAATAGTACATGTGAATCTTACTAAATGTGGAATATAAATGTTTTAACACAACAACTAAGAAAATAACACAAAGGCTATGTTAAACAGTTGGATGAAAGTATTCCAAATTGTATATAGTAACAACCCACTGTACCCCATGATAGTATTAATGTACACAGCTATGACTTAATAAAAAAATTTAAAAAAACAACAAATTGCATATAAAACTAGCACATTGTACCCCATGATTGCATTAATGCATATAGCTATAATTTAATTTGAAAAAAAGAATAAAAGAATAAGCTCAAAAAATAGTGATATTCTAATAGTATGAAGAAGCACTAAAGATTCTCAGGTGATGCAGCAAAACTTGAGTTTGTAAAGTTAACACACTAAAACTGATAGAGAACTTCCACAAGTATTGCATCATCTTGGTTGTAAGGGAACTGAAGACATGAAGAGTTTTTGCTGGTCCTCCACAGCAGCTACTCCCTTGTCTTTGAATATTGGTAAATGACCAGGTAATAAAGCATAATATTTGAGCCAGGAGAATAAGTTCAATTAGTTATTCATTTGGAAGGATATACGGTTAACCTGACCACAAAGGAAATAGTTTTTCACAAGGATAAATTATAAAGTGATTGAAGATAATATGACATGCTGAATGGTCCTGGGACTTTGCCCTTTCCATGGTTAACTATAGATGACTGGAAACTCATTCACTGTGATGTGAATTCTCCATGTATTGTTCTATGATTGATATGATAAGAAAGAAGGAAGTGGGGCAGGCATAGGGCAGATTAAGGAAAGGAATGGTACTGTTAATGGGAATGTAAATTAGTATAGCCATTATGAAAAATGTGTGGAGGTTCCTCAAAAAATTAAAAATAGAAATCCCATGTGATACAGTAATCTCACTGCCAGGCATATAGCCAAAAGAAATGAAATCATTATGTCAAAGAGATACCTGCACATCAATTTTTATTGCTATATTATTCACAATAGCCAATATGGAATCCATTTGAGTTTCCATTAATGGATAAAGAAAATTTGGTACATATACACAATGAAATATTATTGAGCCCTTAAAAACAAGGGAATTCTGTATTTGCAGCAACATGGATGAACCTGAAAATATTATATTAACTAAAATAAGCCCTGCACAGAAAAACAAATACTCCATGATCTTATGCATATTTGTAATCCAAAAATGTTGATCTCACAGAATGAGAGAGTGGAATGGTGGTAACCAAGGACTTAGGAGTTCCAGGGAGAGTTTGTGGGAATGTTGATCAAAGAACTCAGAATTTCAGTGAAGTAAAGAGTCAGTTCAAAAGAGCTGTTTTATCACATGGTGGCTATAGTTAATAACAATATATTGTATTCTTGAAAAATGCTAAAAGCATGGATCCTAAGTGTTCTTACCACAAATATAATGACTATGTGAACTAATGCATATATTAATTAGCTAGATTTAGTCATTCCACAATGTGTATTTACTTCAAAACCTCATATTATATTTAATAAATATATACAATTTTATTTTTCAATTTTTTAAAAATATTTTTAATCATAAATACAGTGAAATAGGAGACATAACTGTCTTTTTTTTAGAGACAGAATCTCACTTTATTGCCCTTGGTAGAGTGCTGTGGTGTCACAGCTCACAGCAACCACCAACTCCTGGGTTTAGGCGATTCTCTTGCCTGAGCCTCCCAATTAGCTGGGACCACAGACACCTGCCACAACACCCAGCTATTTTTTTGTTGCAGTTTGGCCAGGGCCGGGTTTGAACCCACCACCCTCGGTATATGGGGCCTGTGCCCTACTCACTGAGCCACAGGCACCACCCGAGACATAACTATCTTTAGGAAGGAGTGCACCCTTTCATTAGTTATCTATGGATGCACAGTAAATTACCCCAAAACTAAGTGACTGAAGAAAACAAACATTTATTATCTTATAGTTATTTTGGGCCAGGAATCTGGGCATTATTTAATAGGTGCTCTGCATCAAGGTTTCATTGGATATTGGTAAATATCAAGGTAACAAAGTGTGAAGTTATAGCCATGAGTATAGGTATAATTAGTTCATAAGACTACAATTAAGGTACTGGCTGGGACTGTGGTCTCATTTTTATTTAAGTGGCTTTTAGAATGATTCAATGTATTGCAGACTGTTGAGCTTAGGGTCTCAGTTCCTTACTGATTATCAGTTAGAAGCTTCTCTCACTTCCTTACAACATGGGATTTTTCCATAAGGCAACACAGAACATGGCATATAGCTTTCATCAGATTGAACAACTGAGGGAAAATAAGTAAGACAGAAACCAGAGTTTTTTTGTAACCTAATCTTGATATAATTACTTCTACTATTAGAAGCAAGTCATAATGTATAGTCAATACCCAAAAGGAGAGGATTACATGGGGCATGAATATCAGGAGTCAGGATAATTAGAAAACATCTTAGAGACTGTCTACCATAACCCTCATTGTGTGAGATATTCCATCCATCTGCCCACTTTTCTACACTTCACTAGCAGTGAAGATGGGATCTGTACTGGACGTGCATTATTTGAAACAATTCTAGTTTACTATAATTAGAATGTTTACTATAATTAGAATGTCAGAATGTTTGGTGTGAAAAACTGTCTTTGTGTTGTCAATGAGAGCAAAAGACATCACTTAGAGATAGTCAGGATGTCCCTCTAGACAGAAAGCATCTACAAGAATAACTGCATTCTCTTTGTCAACATATCAATCACACACATTATTCTATTTTGAGAACTAGAGAAATAAAGAAAATCCCTTCCTGTCCACATACGATCAGGTGGGCTCCAACATTGACATTCTTATTCCATAAATCAGTCTTCACTTAGATCAGAGACCATTTCTCATATCCAAGTAATAACCATATCAAATGATAACCACTATGACAGAAAGGAATCTTATTCTCCATATTCATATAATAAAGTAGTACCTTCTGAAATCAGTACTGTATCTCTATTCTAGGAAAATCTAGGCAGTCCTCACACTGAACATGTTTCAATGTGCCTTTAGCAAAAGATAGAATGTGGCCAGGCATGGTTACTCATGCTTATAATCCTAGAACTCTGGGAGTGGGAGAATTGCATGAGGTTAACAGTTTGAGACCAGCCTGAGCAAGAATGAGACCCCATCTCTACTAAAAAAAAAAAAAAAAAAAATTAGCCAGGCATGATGGCATGTGCCTGTAGTACCAGCTACTCATGAGACTGAGGCAGGAGGATTGCTTGAGCCCAGGAGTTTGATGTTGCAGAGCTATGATGACACCACTGCACTCAAGCCAAAGCAAAAAAGTAAGACTCTATCTGAAAACATAAGGGTGCTCACTTTGACAGCACATATACTAAGATTGTAAGTATACAGAAATTAGCATGGCCTTGCACAAGGATGACATGCAAATTTGTGCAATGTTCCATATTATTATAAATGGAATTGAAGGGAAAGTTGAAAACCAACAAAAATAAGCACCAAAAATATTTCAATAAATTAATGAAAAAGTCACTAAAGAGATTTTAAAAATTAGGAAGGATATAATTGAACTAGAATAATTTAAAGTATCACTTGGGGATTTTCAAAATGCAGCAGAAAGTTTCAGCAAGAGTTTAAACGAAAGAGAAGAAAGAAAATCAGAGCTAGAATACAAGGCTCTTGCCCTAACCGAATCATTTAAAGAAGCAGAGCAATTGCTTAGGGAGATATGGGATGACACAAAGTGAACAAACATGTGAAGAATAGGTATCCCTGAGGAAGAAGAAGAAAGTGCTAAAAGCATGGAAAATCTATTTGAGGGAATTATCATAATGGCAATAAAGGTGATAGACTAACCCTCAGTAGTAGGTGGCAGCAGATTAGATAAGAGTCTCTAGGCCTCCATGCGGGTGGGCGCGGGTGGCAGTGGCTCCAGGGTTAGCAGGCTGATCCCTAGGCCTCTAGGGGGCAGGGGCTGATGCCATTGTTGGACAAGGTTGGGCACACCTTCAAGCCTTTAGAAGTTTTGCTTGAGTACCAGTTGTGGTGGCAGTGGGTGAGGCAGACCTGTCCTCAGGCACTCCACTGGTGTGCATGAGTACTAGCTGCAGTGGGAAGAGCTAATCAATCCCCAGGCCTTTCAATGACATTTTAAAGTGCCAAAAGCAGTGATACTTGTCAGGAAAGGCCTGTCCTCTTGCCCTTAGATGGTACATGGAAGCAGAAGTAATCAAAGTGGGCCTGTTATCAGGGCTTCAGGTGGTGCATGCAGGCGAGGAGTTTTAGGTGAGATGGGTTGGTTCTTATGCCTCCAAATAGTACTTTCAAGACAGTGGACATGGCAAGCCTGACTTCAACCTCTGAATGGCATACATGGGCACAATCAAGCTGAGGTGTCCTGTCCTCAGGTTTCAACATAGCATCCAGATGAGCTGGTCCCCAGGACACCTGAAGGTGCATGCAGGTGTGCAGCAGCCCTGATATTGGTAGAAGTGTTGTTGCTGTCAATGGCAGCAAACCCAGGCAGGCACCCGTCAGCCTCTGGGTAGCACATGGTTCAGCCCTCTTTTTTCAGGATGGTAGAACCCTTTGTGTGTTGCACTGCCCATTCCTCAGGGTTATAACATTGTGTGAGCTATGGTGCTAGTTTCCTAGCTGCAATGCTGGGTCTAGCCAGAGATGTGATGCTTGCAACCCTCTGACTGTACATGAGATGATGTCTGCAGCGCTTCAGGGATGTGGAGAGATAGCACCTGCTGAGTCCCAGGTCGAGATGCAGTCCAGTAGGGACCAAACTCTCAGAAGGGCACCATGCTGAAGAAATAACAAATATAATCATATATTTCATATGGAATCAAAGAGAAGCCCAAATAGTGAAACTAATGCTAAGTAAAAACGAACAAAACTGACTGGCTCAGAAAAATGCCAGCCTGGGATTCTGTATCCTACAAAAACTAAGTTTCATATTTGATGAAGAAATCAAACCTTTTCCTGACATGCCAACTTGCAAGATATTTGTCACTACTAGAGATGCTCTGTAGGAAATACTCAGACCTGTATTATACCTAAACCAATACAATGAACTGCCAGAAAAGTAACCTACCTAGCAAGTAAAGGACAAAACTAACACAATAGTCTAAAGGATAAAACAAAGCCACAGAATCCCTCACAACAGGACAAACTGAAATCCACCCTACCTATCAATTATCTCAATAAATGTGAATCGCTTGAACTCCCCACTGAAGAGACAGAGGCTGGCAGATTGGATAAAAAATTGAAGCCAAGTATATGTTGTTTTCAGGAAATATATCTAATCCTCAAGAACAAATTAAGACTAAGGAGGAAGGCCTGGAAAATAATCTTCCATGCTTATGATAACCAAAAGAAAGCAGGAATTGACATCATTTTCATGGATACAAATGTTTTCAAAGCAACAAAAGTAAAGAAAGAGAATGATGGGCACTATATACTTGTTGGGGTAACAATTCATCAAGATGACATATTTATCCCAAATATTTACATACCCAATTTAGAATTCCCAGATTTATAAAACAAATTTTACTTATCTAATGAAAATGATAAACAGCACCATAATAGTCAGGGATTCAATACTCCAGTGACAGAAATTGACTGATCCTCTAAGCATAAATCAAATGAAGAAACTTTGCATGTAAATGTGACTCTAGAACAAATGGGCTTAACAGACGTCTACAGGAAATTTCACCCCAATACCACTAAATATATGTTCTCATCAGTTCATGAATCATTTTCTAAAATCAATCATATCCTAGGCCACAAGAAAAGCCTCAACTAATTTTAAAAAGTAGAAATTAGACCATGTATCTTTACAGCCACAATGGAATAAAAGTAGATATCAATTTCAGCAGAAACACTCATACCCACACCAAGTCACAGAAACTAAACTTTTTATTATTGAGTGATAGGTAGGCCAAGGAGAAAATAAAGAGAAAATAATTTCATTCCTTGAACAAATTGACAGTGAGACCAGAAGCCATCAAAATCTGTGGGATATGCCCATCGACCCATGAATGTATTAATAAATTGTAGTATATGTACACCATGGAATATCATGCAGCCTTAAAGAAAGATGGAGATTTTACCTCTTTCATGTTTACATGGATGGAGCCGGAACATATTCTTAGCAAAGTATTTCAAGAATGGAAGTAAAAGTACCCAATGTACTCAGCCCTACTATGAAACCAATTTATAGCTTTCATGTGAAAGCTATAACCCAATTATAGCCCAAGAATATGGGGAAAGGGGAGAGGAGGGGGAGGGGAGTGGGGAGGATAGGTGGAGGGAGAGTAATTAGTGGGATCACACCTACGGTGCATCTTACAAGGGTACATGTGAAATTTACTAAATGTAGAATATAAATGTCTTAACACAATAACTAAGAGGGTGCCTTGAAGGCTATGTTAACCAGTTTGATGAAAATATTTCAGATTGTATATAAAACCAGCACATTGTACCCTGTGATTGCATTAATGTACACAGCTATTATTTAATAATAATAATAAAGGAAAATCTGTATAGGTGGAAGGCAGCAGATCTGTGGGACACTGCCAAAGCAGTCCTAAGAAGGAAATTGATTGCATTAAATGTGCATATCCAAAATCAGGACCACAGTTCAAATCAACAATTTAATGAATCATCTCAAGGAACTTGGAAAAGAAGACCAATACAATCCCAAACATGGTAGAAGAAATTAACACAAAAGATCCATTCAGTAGATTAATGAAGCAAAAGGCTGGTTCTTTGAAAAGATAAACAAAATTGATTAACTGTTGGCCAGATTAACCAGAAACAGAAAAGTATGATCTCTAATAAGCTTAAATAACAACAGATACCATAGAAATACAAAATATCATCACCAAATACTACAAAAAGTCTTTATGACTAAAAATATGAAAATATGGAGGAAATGGACAAATTCTTGGAATCACACTACCACCATTGACCCAAACAGAAAGAAATAGAACTATTGAACAGACCAATATCAACCACTGAAATTGAAACAACAATCAAAAAAACTGCCAACACAAAAAAGTCCCAAACCAAATGGTTTCACACCAGAGCTCTATCAAACCTTCAAAGAACAGCATGCACCTATATTGCAGAATTTTTCCAATACATTGAGAAGGAACCCTCCTCAACTCTTTCTATAAAGCAAATAACACCCTGATACCAAAATCAGAAAAAGAACGCAATAAAAAAAGAAAACTACAGACCACTATTATTAATTAATATTAAGTCAAAAATACTAAAAAAAAAAAAAAAAAAATCACCACCATGTGGGCTTTATTCCAGGGATACAAGGCTGGTTCAACATACTAAAATCTATAAATGTAATTCATAACTTAAATAGAAATAAAAACAAAAATTATAGATCCTCTCAATAGATGCAGAAAAAGCATCTGAAAAATTTAACATCCTTTTCTGATAAGAACATTTAAGAAAATTGGCATAGATGAGACATTATCTTTTTAGTCATGGAATAATGTTCCTTTATTTGCAAAAAGCCATACAATGTTGATCCAGTCCTCTATTATTGACATTTGTCTGGTTTGCAGTTTAAATCTATTGAAATAATATTGCAATGAAAACATATTTCCAGCATACATATCTTATATGTATTTTCTTAGATTTATACATAAGCATTTTATGGTTTTGGTACTATCGTAAATGGTAATGCACCTTTTAAAATTTAATTTTTCAATTTTGTATTGCTAGCATATAGAAATATAACTTATATTTGTGTATCAAAACTACATCCTCAATTGAACCTGCAACAATAAAAAGAAAAAAAGAAACTACATCCTATGATTTGACTAAATTCACTTATTTGTTCTAGAAGCTTTTTACTAGATTTTTTAAAACTTTTGCACAGAAACAACTGTTTTCTATAAAAAAGAAGAGTTTTATATCTTCCTTTCAAATGTACAGTCTTTTACTTCTATTACATTTGTAGATAAAATAGCCAGTATAATGTTGAATAAGGGAGATGAGATTGGTCATCCCCGTAACATTCCTGATCACATTAGGATCATGTGAGGAGGTAAACATTAACACCTTCATCATTTAGTCTGATATAGTAATTTTTTAAGAGAATATCTGCTTGCTGTAGGATTTTTGTAGATGCCCTTTATCAGTAATAGTAATTTATCTTCTCTTCCTTTTTCCTAAGAGTTTTTAACATGAACAAATGTTGAATCTTATCAAATGCTTTTTGTTTATAAAGGAGATAATTTTTATTAAAAATAATCTATTATTATGATATTCAGAGACATTCTTTAAGTGATACAAACTATCCATGGCAAAACAAAAGCCAATATTATATTGAATGTAGAAAAGCTGAAAGCATTCTCATTTAGTGATGGACATCCTAACTGAAGCAATCAGATGAAAGAAGAATATCAAGAATATCCACATC